TGAGTGTTCCTTTGAAATCATTATTTTCCCATTTGGTTCAGTATCTGATTCATTTAGTTCTAAATACATTTCACTCTTTCAGAAAAAGAACATGTGGGCACTGTGGGTTTCAAGAAAATTTCTTCTTATAAGGTGAATTGGGGCCAATTTGACCACTAAAAATATATGTTGCCCTGTAACATTCCCTATTTGAAAGGGGACAGGTTCTGATTTTATTTATTTATTTATTATTAATTAATTAATTTTATCCTCACCCCAGGACATTTTTCCATTTTTTGTTCAGAAAGAGTGGAGAGGGAGAGAGGGGATGAGAGAGAGAGAAACATCAATGTGAAAGGTACACATCAAGTGGCTGCCTTCCGCATGACCCAAGTAGAGCCGGGGACAAACTGCAACCGAGGTACGTGCCCTTAGCGGGAACTGAACCTGGGTCTCTCTGGACCGCAGGCCGACACTCTAACGGATGAGCCAAACTGGCCAGGGTCAGGTTCTGATTTTAAAAGTTATTGGTTGGTTAGATACTGCTATTATTTGCACAGAAGCTTTACTCAGAGGGAGAGGGAAACTTAGTTGGGTAGGGTGAAGAACTGACAAAGTAGCCCCAGTGTCTATCAGGCCTTAGTAACTTCCCCTTTTGTGATAATTTCAATTTTTCCTAAAGTATGAGTAAGGAGAAGGGGAAATACCCTCTCATAGTCCTTGAAGCAGCACTATGATTGTTTCTGTTTTTTTGTTTTTTAATCCCACTTCAGTTTCCTATAATCCTTAAAGTGGACAGACTTCTCTACAGAAGTTTTCTTTCAAACCTTATTTAGTAATTCTGTTACTTTTGCTCCCAGAAACCAGGCATATTAATTGGACTAGGTTAAAACAGCCAGGATTACATGCTCTAACAGTTAAATTTCTTTGTGAACCCATCAGTGTCCCAGATAAAATCAGGAACAATTAATTGCTGGTTCCTCTCTGGCTCAGTCCAGCCTTTCTCCAAAGGGAGCTGTTGCTCATTTTCCCACAGGCAGTGGGAGTGGAGGAGGTAGGACAAATCCGGACAAGGAAGCTCAGCAAGCAAAGGATATAGTAGGGGAGCGATAGAAGGAAAAGAATGGGGTGTGGCTATTTATTGGCTTCAGAATAGTTCAGAGACAGTGTCTAAAATTTCTTATTAATTTCTTTAAGAATTAATCTGTGCTTTTCCTTAGAAGCTCTAATGTCCAAATCAAGCTATGCTTTCCATTCATTCATTCATTTTAATGTTAGAACTGGCATTTCTAATTTTTTTTTGCAAAACATTAACTTAGGCACCCAAAGATAATTGCATTTTGGCCATTTAAAGTTTATATTTTTGCCTTCGCCAATTTGGCTCAGTGGTTGGAGTGTCGGCCTGCAGACCAGAGTGTCCCGGGTTTGGTTCCTGCTAGGGGCACATACCAAAAAAAACAAACAAAAAAACTTATGTAAAGTTGATATTTTCTAGTTAAATCTTCCCATTTCTGTAAAGCACTTGCAAGTAAAGGCTTTCTATCATGAGTAATAATGAAGGTTGGGGTCTGGGAGTTCCCAGTCTTGGAGGCACAACTTCCCACGTCAATTTTAAGGGTGTGTGTGTGTGTGTGTGTGTGTGTGTTTAATCTTCAGAGTCTGAGCAAATTTTCTAGGGATGTTATGTAGTGGGTTGAAGTGTGCTGCTTATGCGTTGAGCCCCATGAGGGTCCTACCTCTCAAGTTGCATTCAACCCTCTGATGTGCCTTGGTTTCTCTGCCAGCCATCTAAAACAACCTGAAGGGCTCAGGGCACTGACTGATCAAATCTTATGGGCACTCTCCTGGGCGAGCCAGTCAGTTAATTACAGTGGAGTTGGAATTCCCTATGGGGCTCCTGAAAGTTGTGAGGAATGACCTCTGATACCACCACAAATATTTTTAGTCACCCAAGAATACCCGAGATTCGAGATTCAGGCTGGAGGGAGGACATACCCCTTTATCTTCGGAGCTGAATGACTTCAGCTCTGTTATATAGCGAAAGTTTTTGCTCAGACTCTCAGAAAGCAATTTCAATTGCAAAGCTGAAGTTAACAAAATCAGCCACCCATTTTTCCTGTCTTGCCTTAGCCTGGGTTCTGTCAACCCTTAACCTCAAGGATTTAAAAATACAACTCAATGTCAGAACCTCTACCACAAGCAAGAGAAAGTCCTGGATCCAAGAGACAACTAACCCAAGTTCACCTGACAGGCAGGGAGCTGGCGGGCTCAGAGGACCCTTTGCTGGATTCTGAGTCTGGGTCTGTGGGGTGGTCCTGGGTGAGTTTATTTGGAATCCCTCAGCACTACACCATGTAAATGCCAACATAGGAAACATTTAAACCTGTCAAGAATTTTTGTGAATGTTTGAGTCATACTGTTGGGAAGCAAAATCTCAATGGATTGAGATAATGTTTTTGAGAATGGCAGTTCTTACATTTTATTTTATACATTACAATCAAAAGAGTACACGCAAGTGAGTTACATGAAATCCATTGGTGATAGAACAGGAAGGTGAGAGAAAGTAAAGTGGAGAAGCCTCTGTGATTGGATGAAAAGTAAGATGACAGACACATACATATTTTACATAGGTGGGTACAGGATGGTTAATAGTCAACAATTAACTTAATAACAATGAGGGGATTTGTGATATCCACAGAGCAGTACCTGTGCTTGAAGGGGTCAGGAAAAAGGAAAATTACTTTGACATTCCAAAGATATGTTATTGTAGATGCAAAAAGACAACAGACAGGTTCAGTTAAGGTAAAGATTAACCTTTGTCAGGGAAGATGTCAGCCTAGGACATGACTACCTACCATAAACTGCTTTTAGTTAAAAAGTTCTAGTTTCAGAACATCCTTTGTGATTACTTTAGGTCTTTGAGTTTGGAAGGCAATCACACGGGCCTTCCCTGAGCTTGTCAAGTTAGAATGTTGTCCCTTTTTGTCCACACCCAATTGTGTCAGGTGGGACCTAGTGCCTCACTAGGCCTCTTTCCCTATCCACAAATCATCGATAATGACCATGTCCATACCCCAAAAGAGGGTTAATTCATCTACCCAGAAACACATGGGAAGACAAAAATAGCTCTACAAAATCTAAAAGGTTAAAATGAATTTCTGATGCTGGTTCCGTGAGCCCAGAAGAGAGGCCAGAGCTGCTCCTATAGTGACCAACTGACCCTGGCCCTTCGACTGCTGACTCATCTGGTGTGAAGCTCCAGGATGGTTTCTGTCAACAAAGTCTGGTTTTCAAATCCACTAATGAAATCAAATTGGTAGGTCATGAGCATTATTAAAAAGAACTGGCAAATAGATACTCTCAGAATGCATTACACATGATATGGGTAAATAGTTTCAGAAAACAGTAGCCAGTATGTATATTCTGAGTGGCATTGTAAAAGGCATTCATACAGGGATCATGGTTAGGACCCTAAGTGCCATTGCCATAGTTTACCAGGTATGGATAGAAAGGGGTCACATACTAAGCCTGACAAGACTCTCAAGAATGGAAAAATAATCTTCACCTTATCATCAAATGACACTCAAAAATTAAAAAAAAAAAGATAAACAGAACCAAGAGAGAAACAGAGGAGGATGCCGTCCAGGACCTACAGTCTATCTCAGCATGTGACATGGCAAGGAAGGGGCCCAGGAAGGATGGGCAGGCACTACTAATTCTAATTCCAGCTCGGATCACAGCTGTCCTAGGTTTGTGGGGGTGCCAGGTGGACACTGTGGCCCCTGAACAGAAAGCGGACAATGCCCCTGTAGGTGGCCCTACGGGTCCCAGACTTGAGGTCATCCATGACTCCCAGGGCCTTGAGGAAAGCTTTGAAGCTGTCCATACCAGTGTACTGCACCAGCAGCAACTCCCCAGTGCATTCTGCTCACTGGTCTTCACTTTCTCCACCTGTAGCTGAGGGGCACTACAGACAAGGAAATCCCTGTGGTATGCCTGTGTGGCAGCCTCAAAAACTCAAGAGACCTCAAATAATCAAATAAGATGATCTGAAATGAAAACTTTTTAACTAAAAGCAGTTTATGGAGGATAGTTATCATGTCCTAGGCTAGAATCTTCCCTGACAAAGGTGAACTTTCACCTTAATTAAGTTTGTCTATTGTTTTTTTTGCACCTAAGATAACATACTCTTGGAATACCAAGGTTACTTCCCTTTTCCCAGACATCTCAGGGCACAACCAATGCACCAGGGCAAACACTACAAATCTTATTGTTATAGTTGATTATTGACTGTTAACTATCCTGTAACCACCTATGTAAAAGAAGCATGTGTCTAACATTCACTTTTTATCTAATCCCAGGTTTTCCCACTTTGCTTTCTCTCACCTGCCTTAACCTATTACCAAAGGAGTTCATTATGTCTTCTCTTTTGATTATAGTGTATAAAATAAGATGCAAAACTGCCATTTTCTGGAGCATTTTCTCAACCTGTTGAGATTTTTGCTTCCTGGAAATTTGTTAGTTTGGCTCAAATAAAATCACAAAAATCTGCACAGGTTTGAATGTTTCTTACTGCACAGGTTTGAATGTTTCTTATTGACATTGTATCAGCTCTGCATCCTGGAACTTGGAATCCGATGCCCAGAAATTCTGCGTGAGTCAGCAGAGGGCGCCCTACAGAAGGCACCCACTCCTTGAGACTTCCCTGCCCCAGGGCTCACAGGAAAACCAAGCCCACTGAGGCCCCACAGCCCATCTCTAGAGATAATTGGCAGAAGGGGATTATAGTCTTAGACCCTGTCCACATTCAAGACTTCCCCTCAGCTCTCCTGGGCCTTCCTGCCACCCCCTTCCACTCTCCTCTTCCAGTCATGTTTTTCTTCCAGCAACTGATCCACTTCCTCTTGCCTGCCCAGCCCTTCCTGTAGTCTTCATTCTTCCTCCATCCTTCATCTCCTTTTCCAGGACACACACACACACACACACACACACACACACACACACACAATGTTTTTCAGACAATTCAGCCTTTTATTTTTGAAAATAATTTTGCAGCTTCAACTTTCTTCCATGAACTGAGGTTGGGAAAGAAACAAAAACACAGACATTGTTCTCCAACTCCCCATATGCATCCTAATCTGAACAAACACAGGGTATATGGTGGGGAGGGAATGGAGTCTGGGCCTCACACTGAGAGGATCTCTAGAAATCAAGGTCTCATGAAGGAGCCTGTGCAACAAATCCCAGGGTTAAAACAAAACAAAACAAAACAAACGACAAGCAGCTAATCTCTCTACCAAGCCAGCACAGAACCCTCCTAGAGTGACAGGAAAGGGATCAGTTTTTAGAAAGAACAGGATTGAGGACAGGGTCTGTTTCTTTGAGGAAGGATAAGAAAGAATGCCCCAACACACCAAGCTTTCCCTTTACCACCTTTCCCCCCACTGCCAGGGACGAGCTGAGGAGGTCTTGCTTTTCCCCTTCAATTTTTAATCTTAGAATCATGAATTGTTAGGCTGCAGGGAAAGAAGAGCTGTGATAAGGAGAGAGGGAAAGGGGAAAAATGAGCAGGAGGCATAACCCCTGACAACCTAACAGCTCCACCCAGACCCTGATGATAAAACCCCTTTGGTTAGTCTCATTCTGGCCACAAATACATCCTCATCCTCTTTTCACAGATTCCAGCTTCCCCTCCAACTGGAGGAATGGGTCAGATACAAGAGGAGGGCTCATACACTGGCTGTAAACACCAGGACAGGGAAAAGAGGCTTTGTCAAGAGAACTAAAGTGCCAACCTCTCTGCAGATACCCTAGGAGAAAACCTGGCACAGAAAAGTTTGTGGCCCTGACAAGCCCAAGTTTCTGTCTACCACAGAGTGATCTCCTGCTTAATACCTCCCAACACACAACCGAAAGGTTCTCCTGCCTTGACCCTCTTGAGAATGGAAGAATAATCTTCACCTTATCATCTATGCTCAAAAAAAAAAAAAAAAAAAAAAGATAAATGGACTCCAGGGAGAAACAAAGAGGATGCAGCCCAGGACCTACAGTCTGTCTCAGAACACGACATGGCAAGCAAGGGCCCCAGGGACAGGCAGGAGCTGCTAATTCTAATTCCAGCTAGGATCATAGCCATCCCAGGTTTGTGGGGGTGCCAGGTGGACACGGCGGCCCCTGAACAGAAAGCTGACGATGCCCCTATAGCCGGCTCTGGGGACCCCTGACTTGAGATCGTCCATGACTCCCAGGGCCTTGGCGAAGGCTTTGAAGCTGTCCCTGCCAGTGTACTGTACCCGCACCTCCCCCAGCTCATTTCGCTCACTGGTCCTCACTTTCTCCACCTGCAGTTGAGGGGCACCATAGACTCGAGCAAGGAAATCCCTGTCATAGGTCTCTTGCTGCAGGTATGACAAATCCAGCTGAGTGAAGGGCACGAAGTGCTGGTTCAGCTTGATGAACTTGAGATGCTGGTCAAAAAACTGCCCGTGGCTCACACCCTTGCGGCCAAAAGTCATGGTTCTGGAGATCTCGGGCCGCAGGCAGGCCCGGCCCTGCCGCTGCTCAGGCCGTCGCATCCAGTCGTCCCAGAAAGCTTTGGGCCACTTGGGCTCCAGCTCCGCCCACAGCTCGGCCAATAGCAGCCAGCCTAGGCCAGGGAAAAAGTCAGTGCGGTAGAGCAGCTCAGGCTTGTTCGAATCCACCATCTGCTCCTTGCCGTTGTCATTCCAGGCAGACACGCACCAGAGGGAGGGGTCAGCCCTCAGCAGTGGGTATGTAGCCTGGAAATACTCAAAGAAGTCTGGGGCCACCTCCAGGTCATCCTCCACTACCACTGCTGCAGGAAACTTGAATGTGTGGAAGACCTGGCCCAGTGCCCAGCGGTAGTGGCGGGCGATCTTATAGTAGCCCTGGAACTTGCGGTGGTCGGGTGGCACCACGATGGTGCTCAAGTCGGGCTGTCGGATGTGTGTAATGGCGCTGCCATAGGAGGCTATAACCTGAGCTGTCTCTTCATGCCCGCAGTCCTGGCTGACAATAATGGGGAAGCGCTCAGCAGAGGGCCGATAGTGCAGCAGCTTGTCCAGACAGCGCCGGACAGTGCTGCGGTCACAGGCAATGACCAGAATGGGGATAACAGCTGGCTGCAAGGTCACAGGCCCACGTGGTAGCGCAGGTGGGACCACAGTGGGCGGCCTCCACCGCTGGCTCCGCCGCACATGGTACTCCCAGATCTGCTGCAATAGCCCCCGCTGACGCTCCAGCTCCACCTCTGTGTCCTGTGCCAGGCGGATCACCTCACGTGTGAGCCCAGCGGGGTCATCATCCAGAGTGCTGTCTGAGGGCAGCCTGCTGGGCACAGGGCGTGTCCAGAAGAAAAGCAGCAGCAGGGCGTTCCAAGCCACAAAGAGAATGGCGCCCCACAGCACAAGCCCTGCAGACTGCTTCTTCAGCATCCTGGCCCCCACAGGGGAGCCACTCCAAGCTGCCCTGCTGGCTGGGCTCACTCCCCACAGTTCTAGGGCTGTCTCCTCTTGGCTTTGGGATTAGGAAGCAGCCATGTGCCTAGGGAGAGAAGAGAGAAAAGCAGCCATCATCACAAAGGCACTTCAGCATGGGGTAGAAAGGTGGGGTGAGGGGTATTCCAGGAACAGGTGAAAAGTACAGAAGGAGGGAGACCAGGAGGTAACTCCAGGGTTTTCTTAGAAAATAGCTACCCATTCTCTAATCTGGGTGGTCATTCGAGTAAGAAAATAGGACTGGAACAATATGCTTCCCTACTCCAAAATGAGTTCGTGAGTCCTCAAAAAGCAATATATGTTTGAAGGGGAAGTAAAGTGATGTCAGTGGAAGAGAAGACACAAAGGAACCCCACTTCCCCTTCCCTATCTGACAGATCATTTCCCATCTTCTATCCAGAGCTCAGGGGAAAAGGTGGGTGAGACCATCTGCCCCCCATTATCAAATCAAAATACCCAAAGATTACTGAACTAAGAAGTCAAATATCACACTTTAGAACTAAAGCCAACACCTTACCCAATAAGAAAACACCAGAGGCATTCCCACAAAAGTCAGGAGCAAAGCCAAGCACCTGCAATCTACATGGCTATTTAACATTCTGTTGGAAGGATCAGCCAGTGCAATACAGAACATAATCGGAATACAGAACATAATTAAAGGCGAATAAATGGGAAAGAGTCAAACTATCCCTATTTGCTGACTCTGTAAGAATATGCCTGGAAAATTCTAAGGGAATCAATGATAAAACCAACCCAAACAATCGAAGGTTGCAGGATATAAAAATTAACATGCAAAAGTCAATAGTCTTTATACCCACAAATAACTCATTAGAAGAAATAATGGATGAGAAAACCCTATTTCAATAGCCATGAAAACAATAAACTTTATTTAGGAATAAACTTAACAAGAAATATTCAAAACCTATATGAACAAAACTATAATTCCCGAAAGACACAGAAGACTAAAAAATTCCTTGTTCTTCCAAAGGACTTCCAGCATAATAAAATATTTCAATAAAAATACCTTTCTATGGAACTAGACAAACTGACACTAAAGTTCACATGAAAAAATAAACCTGCAAGAACATCTAGAAAAAAATGAAAACAGGCTGAGAAGAGGGACTAGCCCTACCAGATATTAAAATACTATACATTACAAAGCCTCTATAATTAAAACTATGTAGTGTTGGTATATAAATAAACAGATCATTCAGTGGAATAGAATTTAAACTCCAGAAATAAACCCAACTACACAAAGAAATCTAATGTATGATAAAGGTAATATTTAGAAATCCTGGGGCAAAATATGGTCTTATTAATAGTGTTATAACAACTATATAGCTATTTGGAAAAATAAAATAAAATTAGATCTGTATGCAAGAATAACTTCCGAGTAGCTCAGAGATCTAAATAGAAAGTTAAAACTATGTAAGTGTTAGAAGAAAACATGGATCAATTCTCTATAATCTGTGTATAGGGAAAGGCTTTCTAAGCATGATTCAAAATCTTGATGCAATAATAAATAACATACTTTTACATGGCTAAAAACACATAAGCCAGTGTGGCTCAGTGGGTTAGAGTGTCGTCCTGTACAGAGCTCATGCAGGAGGCAACCGATCAATGTTTCTTTCTCACATTAATGTCTATGTCTCTTTCTCTCTCTCAAATCAGTGAAAAATATCCTAAACAAACAAACAAACAAACAAACAAACAAACAAACACAGAAGCCAAATAAAAAGTCAAATGACAAACTGGGAGAGAATATTTGCAACATACATCATAAATAAAGAGCCAATACCCTACAGACAAATAACTTAAAAAAAAACCAAAAAGACACCAAAACAACAAAAACAACAACAACAAAAAAAAAAAAATGAGAAAAAAAGGCTAAAAATCCTTGCCTAAAAGACAAGGGCAAAGAGACTAAAATGGTCCTTAGACACATGAAAAGATGTTCCACTTCACTCATAATGAAAACAATATAAATTAAAACTATATTGAAATAACATTTCTCACCCATCAGACTAACAAAAATGCAAAAACTTGTCCTTCCATTCTCTTAACAGTGTCAATGAAGAAAAGAAGTTAATTTTGATGATGTCCAATTATTGGGGCTTTTTCTTTTATGAAGCATCCATTGTATTTAAAGTCTTTGCCTAACCCAAAGTCACAAAGATTTTCCTGTTTTCTTTTTAAATTTTATAGTTTTAGGTTTAACTTTTAGGTTTATGATTCATTTTGAGTTAATTTTTGAGTTAATGTTTGGCAGTTTGTCAAACTCCTAGATATACACCTAAGAGAAATGAAAACATATGACCATACAAAAACCTATATGGATGGGAGAGCATAATTGCCAATGATATATCAAATAAGGGGGTATTTTCCAATATATATAGAGTGCTCATACAACTCAACAAAAGGAAGATGAACCTAATTAAAAAATGGGCAGAGGAACTAAATAGACACCTCTCCAAACAGGACATACAAATGGCTAAGAGACATATGAAGAAATGCTCAACATCACTAATCATCAGAGAGATGCAAATTAAAACAACAATGAGGTATCACCTCACACCTGTCAGAATGGCTGCCATCAACAAAGAACAACAGTTGGCGAATGTGTGGAGAAAAGGGGACTCTGGTACACTGCTGGTGGGAATGCAGACACTATGGAAAACAATATGGTGTTACCTCAAAAAATTAAAAATTGAACTGCCATTTGACTCAGTGATCCCACTTCTAGGAATATACCCTAAGAAGCCTGAAACACCAATCAGAAAGAATATATGTAACACCATGTTCGTAGCAGCACTATTTACAATAGCTTAGATAAGGAAACAGCCCAAATGTCCATCAGTAGACGAACACATAAAAAGCTGTGGTACATATACACAATGGAGTTCTATGCAGCTGTGAGAAAGATCTCTTATCCTTTGAGATGACATGGAGGGATCTGGAAAGTATTATCCTAAGTGAAACAAGCCAAACAGAGAAAGACAAGTATCATATGATCTCACTTATTTGTGGAATATAATGAAAATAACAGTCTGAGGAATGGGGTAGTCCCAGAGACGTGGAAGTGGGGTACAGAAAGACAATCCACAGAAAAGGGGGTGGTGGGGGACAGATAAACCACAGAATTTATATGCATGTATGCATGAACAATGGACATGGACAACAAGCTGGGGACAGGGCGGGGATGGGGGAATCAGTGGGTGAAAAAGGAGAAGCATCTGTAACAAAAATAAATAAATTAAAAAAAAAATAACCTATATGGAATGTTTATAGCAGCTTTATTCATAATTGCCCAAATATGGAAACAAACCAAAAGTCCATCAACAAGGCACTACGAATAAACAAATTGTGATTTACCCATACAATGGAATAATATTCAGCAGTTAAAAAAAAAAGAAACTACTGATATATACAACACATGGATGAATCTCAAGTAATTAAGCAAGATGTGAAAGACCAAAAGAAAGCACATGTACTATGGTTCTACTTATATAAATCTCAACTAATCTATAATGACAGAAAGAAAATCAGTGGTTGCATGGGGATGGGGGCAGTGAGGACAGCTGAGGAGGTATAACAAAGGTGCATGAGGCAACTTGGGGGTAGATTTGTTGTAAAAGTTTCATGGATATATACATATGCCTAAACTTTTCACATTATACTTTTATTTATTTATTTACTTATTTATCCTCACTCAAGGATTTTTTTAATTGATTTTTTTTTTAGAGAGAGAGAGAGAGATTGGTTGGTTGCCTCCCGCACACTCCAACCGGGTATGGGGATCAAACCCACAACCCAGGTATGTGCCCTTGACTGGGAATGGAACCTGTGACCCTTCAGTCCACGGGATGATGCTTTAACTGCTGAGCCAAACCGACCAAGGTCAAATAAAGTTTTAAAAAAATCAATTATGGGGAATGGCTCACAGTTCTAACTAGCTTCATCCATCAATATGGCCCCAGCTGGGCATAGCAGTTAAAGGCAATGGGATAATCCCTTTGTCCTGAATTCTTTAATCACTCAGTGACATGCATCACATATCTGCTCTCTGCCAGGCTCTGGAAAGGAACTGGGACACACACCCAACAAGAAAAAAGTATGGCTCTGGCCAGTTTTGCTCAGCAATTAGAGCACTGGCCTTTGGACCAGAGTCATGGGTTCAGTTCTGATCAAGGACACATAACCTCGGTTACGGTTTGGTCTCTGGCCCTGGTCGGGGTCGTGCGGTAGGCAACCAATCAATGTATCTCTCTCACATCCATGTTTTGTTTTTTGTTTTTTTCTCTCTCTCCCCTTCCCACTCTATCTGAAGATAAATGGAAAAATATCCTCAGGTGAGGATTAAAAAAGAAAAAAGAAAAAAGCATGGTCCCACCAACCCCCTCACTCTGTCAGACTCTGTTACTTGAGGGGATCTCCTACACCCTCTAACTCCTGGACAGCTGCCATTCCTGACCATGAGACTTCTTGGCCTTCCTGCCTCTGGTCTTGCTCCTTTACATCCCATACATTCAGGTATGTGCCCTTGTATGCCAGCTGCTCTGAAAGATACCCTCTGCCTCACAGCCCAGTTCTCTAATGCTAGTCAAAACCTTGGTTCCAGATGTAATCTCTACTCCTGGGCTCTCAAGCAGGCAGATACAGTACCAAAGGGGCTGATCCTGAAGGATCTCTAAAGGGACTTGGAGACTCCCCCAGCACCTGCCAGCACCAAAACCACCTGTCTTTCCTCCCAGAAACCATCCACCCTACAACTCTACAACACTAGTCTTCTCAGAAACCTCAAGTCCATTTCTTTTTTACAATGTCATTAATTTCCCATTATCAGTGATCATATACCAACCAGGGTTTCCTACAAGACAGACACATGGATTTCCAGTCTCTTCCTCACTCCCCCCCTCAGGACGTGGTCAATATTTGAACTTTCACAATGCAGATCAAAGCAATCTTCTGAAGGCACTTCAGCAGACTGGATTCTTAGCAAATCTGTAAACATGAGAGTGGCCCAATGACCCACAGGAAACAGCTGCC